TGAGCCCACGTTGCGCAGTATCGGAGCCCCCCCAAGCGCAAAGCGGGCGGATGGACGGCCTATCTACACACTTCCTGTCATCGTGGACCCCACACGAAACCCAAAAGCGCCCCAAATCCTCTCAAATACCAACAACATCGCGGAATATCTGGAGGCCTGCTATCCTGCGCGGCCCGTATTTCCCGAAGGCTCTCGTGCCATGCAATCCCTCTTCGTACACTATATTCAGGAAGTTTTCGCGAAACCGCTGCTTCCGATCATGGTTCCGCTCAGCCACGATCGGCTTCCGCAGCGTACGCAGTCGCATTTCCAGGGGAGCTCGAGAGCATCGACGCCGATGCCTTCCGTGCTCCCGCCTGGCCCGCAGCGAGAGCACGCCTGGCAACTTGTCAAGGAGCAGTTCGACTTCCTGGCGATGATTCTTGACAAGAACGTCGGCGACGGAGACGGTGTAGTCGCGCAGGGCCATCATGTCTCCTACGCCGATTTTGCGCTCTGCTCGGTGTTGTTGTGGATCGAGCAGATGGCGCCACATGACGGCTGGTCGCGTGTCAGAGATTGGAATGGCGGGAGATGGGCTAGATTAAGGCACAAATGTCGAGATTATATGGATGTGTTGTAGCTTTGGAGATTGTCTAGATTACGTAGTATGAAATCTCAGCTTCCCATTTCCTACTCGACGAATTCATGTGGGATGCCGGGCTCTTTGTATACGATCAAGTATTGCGTGGATAAAATTCTAGATGTCGAACCCGGCGAATTGGCTTAAGTACTATCAGATAAATATCATTCCCATTGTCCAACAGAACCCGCCTCAATATGTGGAAAAACACTCTATGTAGTTGGGACTAAAATGATTCAAGGCAGAAGAACAAGCGATTATGCTGAAGATGTTCGATTCTGGCATTATAATCTGTCCAGTTCTAGATTATTATTGGAGGTCGTTGCAACCTCAGAAAATAAAATCGATGCAAATATCCGAGGAATATCCGAGCCATCGGTCATCTTCGGATTTTCTCACGCGATGAACAACGACCATTGTTTATTCACACTTCTTCTCAACTTCTATCAGCTATAGTACATCTCACCGGCGTCGGCTCTAAAATGCAGCTACAATGCATTTCCCCAAGCAGGGATGCTTACAGCCTCGTGGGAACTCGCCAGTGTCGCCACGTACTTTGTTGAATGTTCCTCTTCAACGGGTTCCTAAACCTAAAAAATGTAGAACCTGTGAGACGGCATAGACAGCTATGGGCAGACATAGACAGATATAGACCTGTCTGCCTAGGTCCGTCTAGCTGCATCTAGCTCCGCCTATGTCAGTTCGACAACTTCTCGGCAATTTCGGGTTTAGGAACCCGCTGAACGCAGTGTTTGTGACGCGCGGCCGCGTCGCCGCGTAGCATCCTTCTCGAGATCTTGGCGCCAAAACAGTCACAAGGGGTTTATGACTATATGTAAGGCTATGTAAGGCGTTACAAGTCTGCCCCGCTTCCCATGCATCTCTTCCTTCTCTCTGCGGCGCTCTGCCTATGGCGGATACCGTCCATAATGGCGAATATCTACAGCAGTCTGGAAGGGCTTGGTCAAGATCGATTGGATTCATATGACTTTGTCATCGTGGGTGGTGCGTGTTTTCTCAATACTTGCGGATTCTTCTAAAATGACTCAGGCGGTCTGGCCGGTTCCGTTCTCGCGAATCGACTCTCCGAAAATCCCGATACAACCGTGATTGTACTTGAAGCTGGACGATCGTACTAGTGTTCATCGCTTCATACTAGGACTGGATGTCTGATTTCTGTACAGATATATTGGTGAAGATGAGTTGCTTTACGCGATAGAGGTTCCGGGCTTCGCGTATACGTGGAACTACACGTGGGCGCCGTATGTCTGGGTCAGTTCTTAAGGTCCCTACATTTAACGTCCTCCAGGCAGAAAGAATTATTTGATAGAACATCTGTCTACAAACAAGGGCGTGTATTGGGCGGTGGGAGCTCCCTAAGTATGTCTCGTGATTGTAAATTCCCCACAATACTTACGATGTACTTTGGTCAAGATGGCTTGGTGTGGACACGAGGGACGGAGGAAGACTGGAATAGGCTTTCGTCAGTAGTAAACGATACGCGTTGGTCGTGGGATGCGTTACTCCCCTTCTTCAAGAAGGTGCGCACGAGTAGCCTCTGATCTAATGTTCTTCATTGATGTGAGAGCTTCCAGTCGGAAGAGTTTGTCCAGCCCGTTAATGGTCGCGACACGACAGGGGAGTATGACCCCCTGGTTCACGGCACTAATGGACCGGTCAAGATTAGTGTTTCAGGCTACCACAGAGATTCTGACGAACGGGTCCTCGAAACAATCAAGGAGTTTGACGAAGTGCCTTTTGTTGAGGACTACAACAGCGGCAAACCCATTGGCATTGGTGAGTCTGAAGTAGATGCACGTGCAGCATTTCTCAACGAGGCTCTGGTAGGTTGGCTTCAGTCGAATACGGGGGGAGGAGAGCGTCACAGTGCGGCTAACTCGTACCTTTCGGCCGAATTTCTCCAGCGGAGCAACCTTCACGTCGTTGTAAACACTGAGGTGGCTCGTATTATCGGAGATGATGGAGTGGTCACCGGTGTAGAAATCGCGGGCAGCTGCAGTAAGCTTATCTATTGCTCCGACACCCTGCATCTCCGGCTCATTTTTCCACAGCTGAGGTCCGTGCAACGCGGGAAGTCATCCTCTCCGCCGGGTTTACCAATTCCCCTCGACTTCTGCTTCTTTCTGGAATCGGAGACGCAGACTACCTTCAGCGTTTGGAGATACCTGTCTTCCACGACCTCCGGGACGTCGGAAGGAACTTTCAGGATTCATGGGAGGTTCATATGAATTTTCTTCCAACGTATTTCGTCTCATGTTTGCAGCTTTATCCATTCTACCGGGTCAACACCACAACTCCTGACGTGAATATCAGAGATGCAGCCGAATTCAACGCCGCCGTTGAATTATGGCGCCTAAATCGGACGGGCGGCATCTCGTCTGCATGGGCCAATTTCATCAGCAATTCGCGCCTGGACGAGTCGGATCCAGCGGTTGCAGATTTATTTGCGGAATGGGGAGACCCGTCGTCTGGACCGAACTCGCATCATATCGAGTTGATTGCTTTCGTGAGTAGTTTCAATGCCAAGATTCGCATGAGCTCACTATAAGTTCATAGCCCGATTTCGATCCCGAGGGCAACCCACTTCTCGCTCTCGTCATAACCATCATGTATCCGCTTTCCAGTTCGTTCAATTTACCTCTATCCCATACTTATGCCTCTAATGCGCCTGTCCGCAGAAGGTTCGATAACACTGAATGAAACCAATCCGACGGGACCGCCGATTGTGGACCCAGCGCATTACACCTCCCCATCGCCGTACGAAATCCTGACCAACAAACACGCCATCAGGCTCGTGGAACGATTCTTTTCCTCCCCCGCCTGGGACGGGTATCTCCTTGGTCCCATCCCCGACCTCGAAGAAGCGCTCCAGTCGGATGAGGCGCTGGAGCGATGGATTCGGAACAATACCTTGCCAGGACTGCATGGCGTTGGGACTTCCGCGATGTCGCCCAAAGGGGCATCATATGGTGTTGTGGATCCGGATTTGAAGGTGAAGGGGCTGAAAGGGCTGAGGGTTATTGATTGTGGTATTTTGGTAAGCCTCGCCGTTGTCTCAAGCAGTATTGTTCTCATCGTGATTGCCAGCCATTTATTCCTGCCGCTCACACGCAGAGTCCTGTCTATGCAATTGCTGAACGTGCAGCGGAAATTATCAAGAAGGAATTGGCTGATGCTGAGTTTTCTTGTGCCCATTTTAAGGATAAGAAGCAGGATAAAGTGATAGCCCAGCTAGGTCCCCTTTCGGAACGTGTCGAGTTATAGTCAGAAATACATGCGGCCCAACTTTGTACTCTAAACTACGCCAATGCCATTTGCCTTCGATAAGCTGACCTCATTTAAGGCCATAGATCTAAGCACCTGGGTACCAGCCACAGCATCACAGACCTGGGATTAACGATAGCAGCGCCATGCAACTACATTCAATAGAAGCACCCCACACTTAGATTCATGGTCGGCAAGGCGACAGTGGACAATGCAAAGATAGGGAGGCAAAAATCTTAAAAGTCTGAGAAGCAAACTTTGCAATTGGGCAGACCGTGTCTCTTCTGAAGATCACCATCTCCAGAACTTCCGTCAGTTGCCGCTTGAACTGACAACACGGCGGGGACCTTCATCGACACAGACCTGTAAAACACATCCCGCTTATGAACCAAGATATCATTCTGAAAACAAAAGAAGATAGTGTGCTTCACAGTCTCAACCTCTGAACATCCAGACTGACATAAACACAATGGCCGCTCCACGCGCCAGTAACACCGGCTGTCATACTGCAGGCTTTCAATAGCTAGCCCATGTTGACTTAATAAAAGACGCGTCGATGCTCGCCGATGATCAGCATTTGTAACCAGTGTCAAATAGTGCTGCAGAAATATAGTAACCGGAGAAGGTGAAACCTTTTCAAATGATTCACAGCGTCCATGCAGCAAATAAAGCCTCGTAGAACCATTCACGGCCCAATCCAGGCTTTTCATTGCAGATGCATAAACCTGCTTGCACACTGAAACACATCCATCCGGTGTCAATAGCTCTGCGCTCAGACGAATAGTAGTGTTGACAGAGCGTAGACAACATCCATCCAGTATCCCGGATGGTCAAGTAACCTAACGGATTCCATATCTGTGGATTTAGTAGACTGCTTATATCGCTATAAAAGATAATCATACAGTAATGGACTTCTGCAGTCGTTCTTGTCTCTGTTTGTCAGTTTAGATCCGCACTCTTCTGGTACCTCTACCAACTTTGGACGAGGCCCATCTACCCTCCTTCAAGCTGTACATGTGGGAACAATCAATCTCATGATTTTTACTACAGTACTTCCGCGATCCGTATCAATCAATTCTGAACTCTCTCCAAGCCGACTTTAGCTCAGTTGGAAGAGCGTCAGACTGTAATAGGGTACCTAAGCGCATCTGAATGTCGCCTGTTCGAACCAGGCAAGTCGGATTCCTTTTTGGCTTTTGGGGAAGCCTTTTTTCCCAGCATTGAGCTTCTGATCAGTTACGTTGATGCAACCGTTGTCAAGGGCTTTTCTTACCTAAATAGGATCAATTTTTTGCAAGAATTGGCACTAGGAATGAATCCTCAAAGTTCAGACCACTCGAGGTTCTCGGAAATTTTTGAACTAAGTCCTTAACCTGCCCGGCTCCAACAGCGGTAGGCGAAACACAAAATTGTAGAATTGCATCAAAAATAAACGCCAGGAACGCATCATGATTTGAAATCAGCCGTGTCAATAGTTGCCAAGACAGAAGATGTAGCTTTCCCAGGCTCTCTCTCTCTATCTGCCAAAGCCACGTCCCGCCCAACGCGCTCGAATAGGTACTCGATACTGAGTCTACCTGGAAACCATCAGACTCATCTATTGCTTCCAAATAGGCCCTCAATACCTGGCAAACAGCCAGGCTCGCTACAGCATGTTTGGTTTATTCAAGGAGACGTTCAAAGTAATAGGTCTGTACCTCGCGCCTTGGAGTCTAAGCGTAAAGAAGCTAAATCCATGTCACAGAGGAAACCGTTGTCCAACTTTCTCAACCCGGGCGGCGTGCTGCCGAATTGCACGAAGAGGGTGTAGCGCTCTCGAAGGCGGGGCGCTGCGAAGATGCACTGCGGGTCAATACAGAAGCAATTGGACTTCTTCGAAAGCTGGCGCCAGGGAATCCTATATTCACCAAAATTCTTGTGAGGACATTGCGCAATATGGGTGTGGATTTGTCGACGATTCGCCGCCACGAAGACGCGTTGCGGGCTTACACAGAGGCCGTTCAGCTGGTGCGCAAGTTGTCGGAGACGGACCCAGCCGTCACCAGTGATTTGTGTGAGTCATTGCACGAACTGGGAGAAGTACTCAGGGCGGTGGGTCGTCTCGAGGACACAGTATGCACCTACGAAGAGCTCGTTCAGCTTCGTCGTGGTCGCGGGCTTGGTGCGAAGGACCCTAGCAAATCAAAGTATCTGGGCAGGGACTTGCATGAACTGAGGGAAGCACTCATGGCGGTGGGTCGCTTCGAAGACGCATTACACATCGACGAAGAGGTCGTTCAGCTTCGTCGCCAGCTTGCTGCGATGGACCCCAGCGCATTGAAGGATCTAGCAGCCGCATTGAATAACCTGGGTACGGCACTCAACCGGATGGGCCGCCACGAGGATGCGGTACAACATGGCGAAGAGGCGGTTAGGCTGTTTCGCAAGCTTGCAGAGACGAACCTCGGCCCAGGTGTCACGGGTAGCCTAGCCACCTCGCTGCATAACCTCGGCGCACATCTAAGCGCTGTCGGTCGGAACGCCGATGCCCTTCAAGTCAGTCAAGAGGCCGTTGATCTGCGTCGTGAGCTAGCAAAGGTGGACTCTGCAAGGCCCCCAGTCACTCACGGTTAGGTCGGTCCGCCCTAAATTGCAAATTTCCGTTGATTTACCTTACGATTTTTCAGCTTTCGACCACTACCACGGACCCAATTATTAGGGGCAGTCAGAGTAGCAATTTTGGACGGTTCTGATGGCCGGTTCTGTCGACGGTTCTGATGACGGTTCTCCACGTATTTAATTGTGAGAGAACCGGAATAAATCAGAACCCGGTTCTGTGTGCAGAACCGACTCTGGAGGAGGTTCTGCAATGGTTCTGAGGCGGTTCCGGTTGTCAGAATTAAAGAATTTACACCAGAACCACTTTGAGAACCGACTCTAGAACCATCCCCTGAGGCCAGGGAGGCTGCGCAGCACCCCCAGGCATCGATCCCTCCGATTGAGTATGTCCCCAACGTCGACGCCTGCGTCGCAAGCAGAGAAAGTGCAAAGAATGATGGGTGAGCCCGAAAAGGAAATCGGGCGCTGACACGCAAGACTTGGGAAGTCCAAGGCGGTGAGCACGGAAGGTAAAGGGCGGTGGGGCAAACGACTTGGACGGTGATCCACAATCCCTTGGAAGAGCGACGGGGCGTCCTTGGATTTTCCCCCGCGCACACATCCCTTGCGTGCGGACAGTGTGATCACCAATGGAACCTTCCCTCAGCGTCTGGGAAGCGTTTCCGGTGCGTACACTGCTTCGCACTAAACGAGATCCCTAGCCCCGAAGTCTTCCACACCGACGTCCACGCCGCTCGTCTGGGGAAAACGACAAATGGAAGAGAAAAAGAGGAGGGGAGAGTGGGGAGGAACGGTAAACGCACCTCGAGCTAAGGATAGCGGGGTTCATATTAGTATAACGGGCGCCAGGTCGAGATCGAAGTCCTCGACCTCGGGTGTGGCCGCGGAGCGCAAGAGTGCGTCGAGCTGCGGGACGCGAGTACGCGCGCCATTTATTTATTTCCGTTCCTGCGAAGCCTATGGTCAGTATAGGTCAGGGATTGGCGAAGCGAGCAAGGTACAAGGAAGGCAAAAAATGAATAAAACGAAAGCGGAGGAGGGGATGAGTGAGGGGGAGTGAGTAGGAGGAGAGGATAACGAGAAGGCACCGGGGAAGACGAAAGACGGCGAACGAGTGACGTCACGAATGAGGGAAAAGACTGGACACTGACAAATGTCGGAAAAACCTAAATTTCCTTGCAAGGCCGGTCCCTTGCAATAAAAACTTTAGGCTCCGTTAGTGGAGAGGCGCTTCTCAAAATCTTATAATGCAACTCTTTTATTGTAATGTATCCAAAATGCCTTGCAAGGAAATTTCACTTTTTCCGACAAAGCCAGGTGGACTTACCTTCTTAATCCCAGGAGGAGTGCTATTAACCGTTGTGCAGTGGGAGGAAGGGGCGGCGTTGGCGGTAGGAGGACGTGGCGGGCATTGGACACTACGTGAGGCGACGAACCAGTACAACAATGGTGGCAAGTTGTTGTGAACAGGACGTGAAGGGAAATAATTAAGCACATTCTCCTCCAAAGCAATGTCAAACTACGTGAGGCGATGAACCAGTACAACAATGGTGGCAAGTTGTTGTGAACAGGACATGAAGGGAAATAATTAAGCACATTCTCCTCCAAAGCAATGTCAAAATTGTGTTCATTCTTCCTTCACAGATATTTTTTTAACAGCTCAATACTCTCATTTTCTTAATAAGTACGAGTTCTGCCGGGCTCGGCCACAGCCCTACTACCCAAGTTATTTGTTCCAAACAAATAGAATCGAAACTCCGCCTGGTATTTATGCCGTTTCCAGAGCTACACTAGCTCTCAGCAGAGTTCCAACAGAACTTATAAAATATGAAGATGCTCTAACAGGGGAATGACTATTTTTCTGAGCGGTATTTGAGAGTGAGTCCGTGAAACTATACAGGCAAAGCTGTCCATGCCTCCAGACCTATTCCTATGTGTTGAAACTATCCAGAATCATTACCAAAGTATTCTAGAGGGTTCCCAATAATTTTAGGGCCAGATATATACACCGATAATGGCTGCGACCTTGTTGTAAAATGTATTTTTGGATAGCGGAATTTCAATTCTATTTGTTGGGAACCAATAAATCCACAGGACGGGCTCATGGGCTAAGTATGGGGAACCCCGCCATAGCGAGGGTGATGGCAAAACAGTCCCCATTCACAAACCAAAACTTGTTTTGAAAGCTTTGTGTCTTACCGTGGTCAACTTTGTCCGCCCAAACGGCTTATGTAATCCGGCAACCTCCGATCGATCGTTTCCTGTGCGTAAAATGGCAGCAAGCAAGGGCCCGCGTGAAGCGCAGACCAAGCACGCTGGGCACTGCTAAAATTTTTGGTTTGTGCCTCGCCGTTTGCCGGCCATCCCACTAGTCACAAAACAGTCCCCATCATGATGGGAAACAGTCCAGATCACTTACCGAATCGGAATCGGATCACGCATGATCACGCATGGGACCCTTGCCGAAGCTTGGCACCACGCAGTGGGCCTCGGGCGAGCGTCAGCACCATGCAGTGGGCCCTTGTGGCAAGCAGAAGCGCCGCAGGCAAAGATTAGCGCAGCGTAGGGGGTCTGGGGGCAACCCCCAGCTGGCCCGGCACCGGCCACCAAATCCCCTCAAAAAATACAGAATAAACGGTGAGGAAAAAAAAACCTGTGTGTTAAAACACAGAAAAAGGCCCCTGCACCAGCAGGAAAGGGCCCCGTGCCAATCATGCCAATGCCTAAAAATGCAGTTTCTCGATGGAGAAAACCCTAGGCTCAGAGAGGCCGTTTCTGGTCATTTAAAACCCTTGGAATGACCTCCTAAGAATTGAGCACCCCTAATAATAGACAGCAGGGAACTGATCAATGCAATTTGAATGCCAAAATTGAAAATTTGTGTCTGAAGCAAATAATGTCAGGGATATTCGTTATAATGGGAAGCAACACTTAGTAGATTCCCCTTTGTGCAGCTGAATAGGCCTGAGAATACTTTAATACATTGGGTGAACGTAGTAAACATGCCGAGGCATGTTGAACTTGTTTTGATCCCATCAATTATTGTTTTCATGCGCACACCACCATAACACGGGATTGAACAGATGCGGCAAACACAGCACATCTGATGTGCGACACATTGGCTCAGATGCGACACACCCGGCTCAGATGCGGCACATTTGTCAATGATTTCATGATGTTGAACACTGATCCCAGCAGCTCTGTATCCACCTGTAACCCATTTCGAGCAGTTAGGGCAAGCGCAGCGCGCCCTAACTGCGGGTATAGGCAGGTTAGAGTTAGGGTTCGGTTAGGGTTTGGGTTTGGGTTTGGGTTGGTTAGAGTTAGGTTAAGGGACATTATTTAAGCAGAATGAGGCTTTAGTGTGCCAGCCTGAAATGCCCCGGCTTGGGGGACCCCCCGAGCATAGCGAGGGAGGGGAGGGGGATTGAATGGGTGGTCCCCTTCCGCAAATGAAGGAAAGACATTGTGAGGCCGCCATCAGCGCATCAAAACGGTGTTGATGGGCACGTTGATCCTGTTGTTGCAGATTGATGGCGCTCCTTCAGATGCGACACACCGTGCATCAATGTGCCGTATCTCAG